GAGCCGCATGCTCGTTTGCCCCCTCTCCTATTTAAAAAAAACTACACTCACCATACAAAACACAACAGCATTAAGCTGCTATTTTACGCTGGTATTATGTGAGACTGTGGTCCTTAACTGGTCGAGCCGACCCATACGTGCTAAAACCATAATATAGATGCAGCGTGGCTTTAACACGTAAATGTAATAAAAAGTAGTAAGAAATTTTTTCGGGTGGCAGCCTCGCATCGGCAAGCGATGACAGCCCTCCACCAGATGAAGTGACGACCTTTTAAGAGATGTAGGAAGTTGATAGGTGCAGATAGATTAGCACCGTGCTGTGTCCCCTCCGAACGGGTTCCCGAACCTTGTCGTGGCGGGGGGCTTAGTAGCCACCCACCCACGGTCAATGGTTGGCCCGAGGCTTATCAAGCCCACTTCTTCTCCCTCTACCACTGCAGTCGTGATGGAGTCGCGGGTGAAGAGGAGTGTTGGTATGGTACGAAGCGCCACTCGCTTCCGCGACTCAGGCAGGACCGCACAGTCGATGAGGTGGTGGTGTGCCCGCATGGGGAGAGGAGTGTCTCTACTACGAGGTGCCGCCCTCGCTACCCTTCGTGGCTGAAAACTTAGTTGGCGGTGGAGCCACAGACCAGATCCACCGCTGGGGTCAGAAAAACACCCTTTTGAGTGCTCGTTTTTCCTCGCCCCTTAGCCTCGCGTATCGGACTCGTGGAGGTCCGTTGCGCAGGTGAAATTAAGGCCCCGGAGAAAGGCGCGACTTGTGTTACAGGTAACCTGGTACCTGCGAAGGAAAAAAGGCAGAAGAATTCCTTCTCCGGGAGGGGGGGGGGGGAGGCTGCCATAGGGAGGCCGGTGCTGGCAGGGCAGCGTATGTGCGTGAAATTCCCGTGGCCATGACAATATGCGGCAAAGGTTCGTGCTCTGTGTCACGTTGCTTTGGGGAGGACTATATTCAGTAGTGGAAATTTAACAAAATATTCGTTAAGTAAACATAATCCTATAAATTTTTTTTATTACGAAAGTATAAGGACTTATACAATGAACCATTTATGAATATATCTTAAAATATTTCATGAAAAAATTCCTGACTTTTTACGTTTCCTAATTGTAATTTAACCAAAAAAAGAGAAAAGTTTATCGAATAAGGTAAAATTCGTACTTCGTAATAGTTCGCAGCAATTTTAGCATTCTGCAAAAACGAGTAACAAAAATGAACTTCTATTGAAAATATTGAAGGTAGAATAATCCTTTTTACATAACCCACTAAAAGTAGGTTAAGTTCTGTTTCAATTAACGGCGTTTCAAGCGGTTTAAGATTACTTTTGGCATTATATACTATTAAGAAAAAATAACCGTTTTGTGTTGGTGTAAGATTATCCACTACCCCATATCGCCGTGTGGGCATCATAATATGAGGCGAGAAGGGGAAACAATCTGGGAGATGGGCAGCAGCGTCATCCTAATAACAACTAAAAATATAAAAACTGCGGCCGCAAACCCATCTGTTAAGAATAGCAACTATGACAAATATACCCCCATAAGGTAATGTATGGGAGAAGCCTATGGCCTGCAGTGGGCTATTATGGACTAAAACGGTAACGTTAACGGTAGACTGGTTAGTTTAAGGGAAAAGTTCTCGCATTAAAATGTCATTTTGCAAAAGCAAACCGAGTTCGATACCCACTGACACCAAAGAAATTTTTAAATGCAGAATTAAGTGCTGATTTCGATCCTTTTAATGCTACACGGTGGCAGTAAACATTGTCAGAAAATATATATGGTAGACAAACAGGAAGTCGATGGATGCAGGTGGCTCAGGACCGTACTTTATGGCATTCCTTAGGGGAGGCATATGTTCAGCAGTGGACTTGTGAAGGGCTGTAATGATGAGACAAACTTTAAAAAATTCAAGGGCCATTTACTATACATGCTCGTGAAAAATAAATTCTCATTTTTAGTTTAAAGTGTTCTATTTATAGCTTTCGTTCTTTGTCCCTCAAGAGGAATAGTCGTAACATGGCCGGTTTTGGAGACAAACGTGGCTACCATTCTTTTTGCAACACTCCGTGAACGAACAATTTTTGTTGGCTTTAACTCATTTTCGAACACCCAAACTCGTGACTGGCTTTTTGTTTCGGGTTCGTACGCGTATATCCAGGATTCGTCACCTGATACGATGTGGTATACAGCATTTGAGGATCCTGCGTGGAATCTTTCGAGAGTTTTGACGCACCAAGTAACGGGAGCCGCTTTTTGCTCTTCACAGAGCGAATGCGGTATCCATCGGGAAAACAAGTTTTTTACACCTATAATTGTTAATACAAGATTATTTGTATGTCACTCATGCCAATGTCTAAAGTTGCCTGAATTTCTCGGTATGTCACATGTCGATCTTCCTCAATCAGCTTACGCACAGCATCAACGTTTTCTTGGGTGACTGCAGTTTTTGGACGACCTTGACGGGGATCATCACTGAGCTTGACACGTCCACGTTGAAATTCAGCAAACCAGCGATAAATTGTGGTTTTGGATGGGGCTTCATCACCAAATGCAGAAATCATACGGTCAACACACTGTTTTTGTGTTAAACCACTTCGAAAGTCATAATAAATCATCGCTCTTGAATTTTCTCGCGTCAATTTCATTTTCTCAACGACTAAACAAGTTTAACAAAACCTTGTGACAAGACCGAGAATCTTTTTTTAAATAAATAAATGGTATTCGATTTTTAAAACCAAGGAGTTTTCAATTAAAAAGATTTTAATATGACAGGAACAGTGGAAATATTCCATTCCCGATACTTTTAGTGCAGCCTATGTATTTCACTTTCCATAAATACAAATCCAAATACAGATAAGTATTATATTTGAAACCAATAGAACATTAATTAATTTCAGCAATAGCTTTTAAGATGTAACCGTAAATGTTATAACGCATTATACTCGTAAGTTCATCTTAGACTGGTTAATGATGGGCTGGCTAAATATCTACCGAGCTACTGTGGGGGAAAAGATTCTAGAGTGGTAGCTTCTTTATTTTTTATTATTTTAGAATAATAACATTTCTACATTAAAATATTATATTGATAAACGAGACGACAAATTACAAACCTATAGATATTTGACATTTTAAACCATACAAGAAGACCGAAAGACCACCCAGAGACCCTCTCTCTCTCTCTCTCTCTCTCTCTCTCTCTCTCTCTCTCTCTCTCTCTCTCTCTCTCTCTCTCTCATTCTCTAAACTAGAAAACAACAGTGCAAATAGTAAAAAAAATTGTTTCTTGTTTAGTTTTATTTAGGAAGAATGGTATGAAATACGAACCCAAACGCGCCTAAGGAGAAAAGGGGCCCCAACCACTCGTAAATTGTAAGACGCCTTAAGGCTTACCTTGAGGACCCCTTATTGATTGCACACCCTCTCAAATCATATAATATATTACTCAGCTATGTAACAGTTAGGCTGGATCTTTTCTTCATTATCGGACACTTGAAAACAAAAGTGACAATAACATTTGGCTCTGACAGTAAGAATCAGGTTTCTATATATCACGTAGTTACTGTTCAATTTAAGATTTAGATTTTCCCTTTTTTGCACCTTGAAATATTTTAAAATTTTCAATTCTGACGGTTTCCTTACTAGATGTACTGTTATCAAATTGCAATTAACCGTCTTAGTGGTACTGATGATGGTAAACTCGGGTCTGTCGCTTAAATTATAAAATTTAAGGCGAATAAATAACTAAATATAAACTAATAATCTAAACCGGTGTAGGATCAATTAACCATTATCGATTCAAAGAGTAAATTAATTCCTTTAAAACTAAGCCGACTTGCTCCTACACCCATTTTCGGGACATAATGTAACCCTCGAATTAACAACTAGAAGTTATTCATACGACGTCTGGTACGGCGATCATCAATGTCTGCCAAACGTGACAATTAAAGCAGGTTTCGCTACACTGGCAGAGGCTTCATGGAATGTAATATACAGCAGTAAAATTGAAACAAACAGTGCATATTTCTTATTTTATTTTGATGTAATTAAAAGGTTTAGGAAGTTTAATTAATTATTTTAAATATTATGTATTGAAATTAAAATTAAAAAGTGTTATTTCAATACATATTTGCGCCATGATAACGACGCGTTTCAACTTAGATGATCTTGAGATAGTTGAGATTTAAAGCATAAAAGGCAAAATTTCATCTTGAAATCGGGTTCCAATGAAAGATATATACGAAAACTATCAAACTTCGTTAATTAAAAGATTCAAATTTATGATAAACCTATTCAGATTTATAATGTCTAAAAGTCTGAAGTAAGTTGAGTCTCAAGATACCAAGGATTTTTTTATAATAATAGCAAACCAACGAATAGCACCCTTATTGGTTTTAAGAAGTCATCACACATCCTCCTCATTCACTCATTTAGAGTGCATTTTTATCTATAGGTAGAGCCTTATAGTAATTGCATAATATTCTTATATTTGTCTTGAAACAAAAAAAAAATCAGTCCAGTTTTGAAAGGGGACATAGGGTAATACGGAATAATGATTATGTAAATTTTCCATATGTAATCAGTCAGTACTACAGTTGTCTCTCTCGGTTGCCTGTATAGGTCGCTCGGGTACACCACGACAGCAAAAGGTCGTTAAAACATATTCTCTAAATTTCACGCAAACCAGATATCCTCTCAAAAAGTACGCCTAAAACAGATCACTATTTGTATAAATTTATTTTGTAGGTACGATTATATATTGTGAAAATGACGGTATTTTATATACATCTTGAAATCCACGTTAAACGTGCAATTAAAAAGAAAACCTAAACATTCTATCTATATATTTGTATAAATTTATTTTTTAGGTGGGCCATTATCATTTTCGCAATTTTTTGTGCAGTTGTATTAAAAATGAAATACTTGTATTATTTCTAGAATACCTATCTACAATTAATCGACGTAGATTATAGTAACAGGATTTTTATTAAAACTAAAATAACATAAATATTTTTTTAATCATCATTAAAAAAGTGACGTAAATGTGAAAGGAAATAAATGATTCCAAATATTTCCTAACTATTGTGCATGGAAAAATTTTCACCTCCATGGATAAACTTACTAAACGCAGCCACAATTCAATAAATCAATAAATACAGTTCCTGAACGAATACAGATAACAAATACAACGCAATATTCAAATTTTTATACAGTTTGTCCGTGCTGGGGTAATAATTTTGGAGTAAAGACCTATAGAGTAAGATTTTTTCAAAATTAGCATGCTATTTCAGTCACCTTTGTGGATTACTTATCACAAAGTATTAAATTAATTAAGGTATATCGGATATCGTAAAATGATGGGCCACTATAGCCGTTATCTTATTATTTTATTTTAGGAATTTTTTATTTATTATTTTAGGAACAGATCAATCGCAAGGCAAAAGAATGCAAGAGGCGACATCGGAAAAAACAAGCTCCAATTCACAGTTGTACGAACAGGCTAAAGCTACAGAAAGAGAACGTTATAGAAATCTAAAATAAAATTATATCTATTGATCAAATGTCAGAAAAAAACCAAAACAAAAACAGAAAAAAGAATGGCGTAAGAGACAAAAAAAATGTGGAATAAATGGAAAATGCAGGGAAAGATTTTTATCGAGTTTGCGTGATGATCGCCTTAAAGTGACATTTAAAATGATCCAGTTTCAGTTAGGCATTTCAATATAAGGCATTCTCCTAATGTTTCAAGCATACATTCTCTTCCGGTCTTAAGTAAATCTCGTTCTGTCTGAAGCCGTATTTTGTCATCTTACAGAGAAATATCTCCATCAGTGTTAGAAAATTACTCACCTAGAATACTTGATTCATCAAGTAGTTGTTGTAAATGCTACATCATACCAAAACAAAACTGGACTTAATAGCTTTAAGACGACTTAGCTGTGCAAAATATGATAGAAATTGCTGTCATAATGTAATAGGAAAGTCATATACACGAAGTGTAATCGTTAAAGTATCTCTTCCTGGCTCAAGTCATGATATTCTACATAGAGTGCCAGAAAATACTATGATAGTAACTGAAAAACCTAACACAGACAGAACTCAAGTAACAGCTGTAACTTCTTTTCGGGAATGGATCAAAGCAACTGATTAAATTGGTATTTTTGCAGACCAATTTAATCAGTTGGATTAAATTGGTCTGCAAAAAAACAGAAATATTTAACGTTGGTTAAATTGTCACTGTACTGGATTATAATTCTCTAATCTTTTACGTGGTAGAACCACGCTGCAGCTATGTTTTGGTTGTAGCATGAATGGGTCAGCTCGACTGGGGCGTACTGGGACAACCTAAAATAGCAGCTTAATGCTGATGTGTTCCGTATGGTGAGTGTAGAAAACCGGAGACCCTTTTTACTGGAAAAGAGGCATTCCATCTTAGTCCTCAGGGGTGACAACGCATCTCTATTTTGTTTCGTAATCGAGGATAAATGTAGATGTCTTTGGGCCACAACAACCACTTACCATCAGGTAAATTGGGTGCTCTTTTGTCACTATACTTCTATAAACAAAAATTTTAGTATTATGTCAAGTTTGATTCCAGTTAACAAGTGTGATGAAGAATACACAGAGTTTGTTTGGCCACAGTGTAAAGATGTTTCGGATTGTAGTTATTACTGTTACTTTATTACAATTACATTGCGGTCGAAGGAATGTTAAAAAAAATATTATTACGTTCATTCCCTAATCTTCGCTAAAGTTATTCTAATGAATAAGATTCTTTGCTTGGTTTTATTTTTTTTTCTAAAAATGATTAAGTTGTTACTACTTTTTATTATTTTACTATGGTTTCTCATTTATAAAACTTTAAATAGTCTCAGTTACTTTATTTCCTAAGAGTTTTGCAAGTTATATACTAAACAAAAATAATGTTGATTAATAATAATTTAATTATTATTAAAAGGTTGTTTATGTAACCAGATAGAAACGAATAAAAGTTTTGTTAACCAATTTGTGTTCCTATAAACCTTATTAGTAATAGGTATTGTTTAGGCCAAATCTTAACATTTAAAACTTGCATTGAAAACGCTCGGCTCGGTCGCCTGAAGTGTGGGCTAGCAACCAGTTTTGACGCTTGGGCCGGCGGGACTCGTTTTTTGCCCGCGGCGGCCGTATCATATAGTCTGCAAATTACGCTCGAATCGTTAGTTCGCATGACGACCGCCTCTTATTGCGTTGTCTTTTTTGTGCGTTTACGTGACAACGAGGCTCTTCTTGAGTTTGAGTGATTAACTTAACTTCGATTGCCATTAATTTGCGTCGACGAGTTGCTTGTGTGGCATTTAAATATCGTACGAAGACATTTTTCCTTTGTCGGTAGAACGCTAAAAATTTCTGACCCGAGAGGAGATCGCGTTCGTCTTCGATTATAATTTTGTGCTAAGTGACGTTAGACTTGAGTTTACATATAGGTGAACGCCCTAACAGGTAATAACACATCTTTGGGAGCAGAGAAGCGCATGTGGGTCTGCTGTCCGATTACATCGGTGACGTCAGGTTACATTTACACACTTTCGCACACCACTTACATACCACCAACTTAACCCCTGACTGTACCTTGTGGTCGACCCTACCTCCGGAACTCGGTAAGTTTGTGTTTGCTTATCAGCCATTACATAATAACTATCCATAGACCATTTGGGCCCGAACCCTCTGGTTGCTCGTCGAGTGGGTTACTCATGGGCCCTAGTCCAGTCGACTTCTGTCTGGGCAACTGAGGGCCGTAACAGGTATAATTAACAATTAAGCATAAATACGTACTTAATTAAGATTTAAAATTAATAAATACCAAACTGATTGGTTATATACAGATATTAAATAAAAAGTATCGTTTTATTCGTCCATAAATCATTAATTATTTATTAAAATTATACAAATATGTCACTACCGTGGAACTGTGTCACTTCCGTGGAGGGGTGTTTTAGTTAGGTCATTATAATATTTTATTCAAATTGATGGAGCTGGTACTTGGCACTTTGTCAACATTTTAATTAAAATTGAAGGACTACAACGCAAGCCTACCCGATTTTGCAATTTCTAGTAATCTACAAATGTTCCTAAATAAATATAATTTATTTACAAACTTTATTAGCTTACTACAGATTTCATTATGTTTATGTAAAACATTGTAATAATTATTTATTAGTATCATAGGTGATACACGTTTAACCCAACCACAAATTAACTAAGATTTTTTTAAATAACCGATGTCTCGCGGTAAATTCGATTTCTTGTTTCAAATTAAGGTTGTTAACACTTAAGCGAGTAAAATAATTTGGTCGCAGAAGTCTACTTATTTAGTTTGATATTTTTTTTAATTCAATATATTTTTGGTTTAATTACAACCAATTCTCTGCAAGTATTTAAAATAGCAATGTGTGCAAAGATATGTCAAAAGTACAAGATACGTAAAGACTACCGTAATTTTCAAACATTTTTTTGAAAACGTTTGCTTGGGACGTATTTTAAAAACGCTTCAGCTAAAATAATATCCGTGTTACATAAATTTGTACGACATAAATAGCAAAGCCTTATACCAGGCATTAAAATTGACGTATACAGGCTTCACTCACTAAGTCTACAAGAGTCACATTTTTACCGAAATAAAGGTAAACTTGGTATGCCCTGACACTGACTTGACTTGACGACAAACTAAAATCTTAGTGGAATGTCCAAGAACATCTGCATGCGTTTGCCGATGTCGGCGACTGAGCGATCGTCTAGTTCTTGTTAGCTGTCGTAGGATGGGTCTTCAGCATCGTCCTCGTCGAGTGGCTGGCTGGTGAGCGCGGCCCAAAGCGGCGAGCGTGCGCCGAGCTGCGCCGAATCTCGCCGTTAGCTATCGCGAGCGCAAGCCGCCGCCGCTGCTGCCGCCGTTCCTACTGCACCTATCGCACTGAATAATATCGTACCCACTTCTCGGTCCGGTGTAATGTCCACCTGAAAATAATATCTAGGGTGTAACCTGTCCCATATCAGTGTGGGACTTATAGGCCTCATGTTTATGTGTCAAAAAGAATGTGCTACCTAAGCTACTTACATAGCATCTCGTAAAATATTACTATGTAATGGGATATTGGGTTTGTGATTGTGAGAGCGTTGGGCTAGTAACCTGTCACTTCTTTCACAATTTTCTATCTATAAACATGGTAGAGTCATGCTGCAGCTATATTAGTAGTATAGTTGTAGCACGAATGGGTCGGCTGGACCGGGGAAGGACCACGCTCTCACAGAATACCAGCGTAAAATAGCAGCTTAATGCTGCTGTGTTTTGTATGGTGAGTGTAGAGAACCGGAGACCCTTTTTACAGGAAAAGAGGCATTCTATCTTAGTCTGCATTTTAATTCGCAAACGAAGATAGATGTCGATGTCTATGGACCACATCAGGTGGACTGTGTGCTCGTTTGTCACCCTTATTCTATAAAAAAAAAATTATTGTTGCCTAGCGTAGTCCAAGTGGCTCGCTGCTCTTTGAAATCTGCCTAGCCCCTCAGTGATCACAGGCGTGTCGTATATATATGTATGTGTATGTAGCTCGTTCCCTGTGCGTCAATGTAATAACATTTAAATATAAAACCTCATATTTTTATCAACATGATAAATGTTTACTGTTTTAATAATATCTGTAAGAACTCGTACTTGGTCTTTTTCTTTTATTTTTTAATGTAGTAGTTGATGTTTTAGTTGTAAGTTTTCCAATATGATAAAATAAAATAAAATACAAATACGTGACTTGTGAAATTCCATTAAATAAAGCGTTTCATTAGTTACTACTTTCACTTACCATGTAAAAGTAAAATACTGCTTAATAATACTCCCTGTAAAACAAAATAACTTTTAATAAAACGTAAAAGCCGACTCTTTAAAGAACTAAATATAATAAAATAATTCCACATTCCCCGAGCGGTGCTAAGACAGTGAAATTATTTTCTATTTAGGTAGATTTTTGTAATCTGCTTTATTAAAAGTTATTTTTTACCGTTTTGAGTGGACTTAGGAGAATATAAAAATCTCAATATCTTCTAAATAGTTACATTGAATACTTCGATCCCCTAACTTGCCACTCTTCAAGTGTAATTACGGGTGGAAATTATTTTTCAAATTTATGTGGGACTACTTCTAATCTATAAAATAATTTAATAAAAAAAGGAACAACATAATCGGCTTACAATTGACATTTATATCGTGTAACATAAATACTCATGCTTATACGAGGACGCCTGATCCCATCACTAAGACGTACTCGTAAATAGACTGAAACTGACTACTTACTAATAATAATATGATAATAGTTAATTTCTTCTACATTTCTTCTTCTTCATTAAGTCCTTTATTAGTCTACTGCTGTACATGGGCTTCATCGCCGGCGGCAGGTATTTATGATCGCAGTGTGTCTCGCAATATGACGCTGCTGATAATTTGAAACAATATATCTAATAAAAAAATCTATTATTATTTCATTTACTTGAGAAAATGTAGTCTGTTCAGGGTCGGAACGCTCTTCTAGTACGGTGTCGAGCTCAAGAGTTGGTAATGGTCGAGGAGAGCGCACTAGACTCACGGCACGTACTCGGCTCTTCATCGGCGACAGTCGCACCACTGATAATTCTCCACGATCTAATTCGCAGTTACGACGTCTTGCTCGTTCTCTACAAATATCATGGTTTTTAATGGTCAGTGCATTACGTACTTATTTTTCATATTTTATATAATATAACTAATACAGTTAGGAGGCAGAAAGCAAGTAATATAAAAAAAGTATACGAAATAAAATGAGTATTTTTAAAGGAAAGAGAATTTGGAGAGTGCTCAATATGTCAAAGGTAGAAGACAAAAGTTGTTAAGCCTGCATTTGGAGGGAATTAAACTTTGAACGTTTGTTAAGTTAAAGCGATAGAAAGGATCTTGCACTAGGGTAAAATATGTGACGAAATGATAGCTTACGAATTTTGTTTGAGCTTATATGGCAATTCGTAGCTATATATGGCAATTATTCCCGAATTAATGCAACCAAGCCAATCTATAATGACCTTGATATACAGGCAAAGATATAGCTCAAAAATATTAACCACCTATTATAAAGTTATTGTTTCATTCCTTTATTCATAATACCTATCAAAACCTATCAAAAAAAAAAGAAGCTATTGTGGATTAAATTTTCCAAAGTCCATATTATGATATATCTCCACTTGACTAGGTATCTACAGTCAGATACTATGGATAACTGAGAGGGAATGCCTTATTACCAGTGAAAAGAATTTCCAGTTCTCATAACTTACCATATGAATCAGCCTACCGTCAGTTAACGTTGGTATTATATGAGATCGTGGTCTCAGGTTAAGACGAATCATCCGTACAATTCATGGCCAATAATCTTGAAAGGAATAAATTAAACAACTAATTCAGAAGAAATATAACAACGTAATAGTGAATTGTATGGTTTACCTGATTTTCTGATTTTCTGTTACCGGAAATAAAATCATACACGAATAACATTATGCGTACGTTTTTGTTATCAAATAATTCTCATATAAGTTTACGTAGAAGATTTAAAATAACAGCATGTTTAAAATATTACCTGGCTAATTTTGCCCTTCGTCTAAGGCAACAAATAACTGTTAACGCCAGCAATGGAAATCCAAATATACAGGAAACAATCGGGATGACTATTGATTCCGGCGAAACTAAAACAGAAATTACGGTGATAGTCATTAATAAAGATTTGTAGTTAAATGCTTATTATATCTTAATCGTAATTCGGAGAGTATATTTGATGGAGACATTTAAAGTGATTGATAATTTACTGTTCGTTATTGTACTTACCTAAATTTAGAAGCAATATTTTTTACAGCATAATGTTACAATTTCCTGATTAACGCCTCGTTTCCCTTGGAAATATCACAAAAAATACCCAAAGCATGCTATTAATTCTCTTAGGTATTAAATATATATTCTATGGGCTCAACACTGGCCTCTCTCTTTAGACTAGGAAAAATACAACCATTGTATTTTAAAAAGCTTTAATTCGACTTGCTTTCTTTTTTAAATTAGTAATCATTTTTTGAAGCTCTTGCGAACTGAGCTGACAGTAACTGCCATGACAATTAAATAATACGTTGTCATGGAGCTGCTCTGATGATAGCCCCGGATTCCGGCAATAGCAACGATCATATAGGCCTGTTTATAAAGAGTTTTTTTTTTATTTATTTTTATATTAGGCGTAACTCGCTTAAAAATAAAAACTTTTAGCCTTTAATTAATTCTTTATGATTTGATAGAAGGAGCACGTCTAAAAGGTTTTCCTCAGCACTGTGGTGTTATTCCAACTAATATTATGTCTTATGGGATTTGATACAAGCAGGATAAAAGGAACTATGTTTGTAATTTTTGGTGTATAATTTAAAAAGAAGATTCTTACGAACCTTAACTAATTCATTTTCACACCTCCTTAGGTCCATTCATCCATTACAATCTATGTTAATCCACTGCTGAACATAGGGCTCTCCGTGGATTGCCACAGGCCTCTTGGCAGGCGAGTTGGCAACCGCAGTTTTTATACGTTTTCGATAGATTTTTTATATTGAATATAATTATTTAATTTTTTACGTTGTTTTAAGTATTTCATATATATTTTATTTTTTGCATCACATATAAGACTTACTAAAACATATAAGTAAAATGAGACTCACCAGTCGGATAAATGATGATGGTTGGTCTTTTGTTTCCGTTTGCGCTGGACTTGGCGACCGACCCAACGCTAGTAGCAGCTATTGTGGTCGTGGTGGTGGTGGCTACATTGGTGCTCAGTTGATCAAGCATTGCTAAAGAATCCGTTGTTCTCAATCGTGTCATTGTGTTCCATCTAAATATACAATGAAGATAAACGTATCATATTAAAATGTTTCTATTGAGTGAAGATCACGTTAGTCCTACCAACCTCCTTTCGACATAATTAAAAAAAACAATATTAGGATGGTATACGAGGTAACAGTTCTCTTCAAGGTAAGTGACTACCGAGGAATATATCGAAATGCCATACAGCCAGGAATATATCTGGCTTTTGAACGTTATACAAAACTGTTACTGGGGTGCCTTGCTACTTTAATGAAATAAGCGATTTATAATAGAATTATTATATTATTGAATCATTCATAGTTCATGCAATTTGTTTTTCGTTTGGTAATAGTGATATATATATATATATATATATATATATATATATATATATATATATATATATATATATATATATATATATATATATAACCTTGATTACTCAAGCGTCGATTATTCATAGTGTCTGATAACTATGTAATGACCATAGACTTTGAACATAATGGCGTAGTAATGATAGTTTACCTCAACTTAACTAAAAATAAGTTATACTCTCAAGTTTGTGGTGACTTGCATAAGGCCAGCAACCGATATTAGCCGAAACAAATCAAATTCTGTTACTACTTTGTGACTAGTTATTCTAACACACATGGGTAATTATGTGTTTTCTGTAGAAATCCCACCCCTTATTTATATGCATTATTTTTGCTTTTATAGTTGTATTATCGGATATTTTTAAACTCATAATACACAAAATAAATATAAAAGTGTTTTAATCAGGGGCTATTATTTCGTATTTTCGTAAGACGACCTGAATAGTTTTAAAAATATTACTGAAATTCCAGAATCTGACTGTAGATCAACTTAGTATATCGCACGAATAGTTGAGGTCAGAATCACCTGCATTTGTGTTATTACATACATCTATCCAATATAGGATCGCCCTATATTGCATTAGTTAGGATATAGGATTTAGATAGCGAGAGAATGAGATAGAATACAATATATAATTTCCTATTATCTCAGTCTCCTCTTTGTGCGGTGCTTTATAAATGATTAATATAACCTTTAACTGTTAAAATAAAACGGTTAAAAACTGACAAATTTAGTAAAAAAAATGAAATTAACCGTAGTGAATAAAATTATCTTAACTAATCCATTCATAACAATCCACGATTTAATAACTTACAGATTTACATTCATATAGTCATGTTTAGGCAATCTAGCGCCTATTTTACGTACCATCTTTTAGAGTCATTCAATTTTTGTTCGATAATATGACTCTATATGTACAACGAAATAGTTTTTACGCTATTCCAAAGCAATTTTTTTCGTAAATTTCTGAAGGTTTCACTTCTACATCGTGTGAACTGCACACATATTTTTTTTATTTAACATTTCTATTTAACTCAGAATGTTAGCATAATAAATAAAGATGCGACGTATACCGCTGATAATGGTTCTCATCAGATTTACACAATTACAGTGCTGAATTTGAATATGAAAAGCCAAAGCCAATATTTGGGCAAAACATAAATTGTTGCTTAACAGGTTTATTTGTATTGTGATGATCCAATTTAATGGAAACAGCATTATATAGGTTACAGGTGGGTTAGAACGCCTTTGTACACATCAGTGTGAAGTACTTTAATGCCTTTAGTGCAGTTGACAGCATTAGCCAGCATACGAAATGGGTCTTCTCAACCAAATTCCGTCTGAAGGACATCATTATCATAAAGAGTTAATTAGCTTAAATCACCATTGTCTATTAGCTTTTAAATTTGTTAAGAAGAGATTTTTTGTTGACCAGTAATGAAATAAAATATAAATTTGGATACTAGCAATACAATACGTACGTAAAATAGGCGATAACGAACAAGTGAATTAAAAAGATTAGAAGCTGAATTAAATCATTGATCTGATCAAGACCTGATAAGAGCCATAATCAAAATTACTAAGGAACTATCATTTCTATCGCGATAATAAAATTTATATTGAACATATTATATATTATATTACTAATTATTAGTGTATGAGCAACTACTTTACGTCTTTCAGTGAACTAACTGAACTAGAAGAGGTATCGTACTTGAATGCATTTGTATTGCACATGTGGTGAAGGAAAACTTCATTCTCCTTTCTAAAGTAGGTTAAGCGAAGTTTTGCTCTATTAATATCATGCAATATAATTAATTTCTAAGTAGAGAAACGGCGCTATCAATATGTAAGCATAATAATACATGTTAAAACTAATTATTATGTCCAATATTAATAATAACCCTATATACAAATCTATTGAAATAAAAATGCATTTCCCGTCTTATTATTATATGTAACGGATAGTCTTCGTTACATATAATAATATATTGGCGTAAAAAGATTAAATATTACATAAAAAGTTTTTCACGTAGAATTCTATTCCTGTACTTGTTTAACAAGATACTTTTAGAATTATTAAATAAAAATATTTAAACTGATTAAAAAGCCTGGATATTGTTATATCTATTAATAACAATTATAACAACGCGTATTGACGTGAATACTGAAGTTATTTATAACATTGAAAATCGCATTTTGCTTTAGACTTACCAATTTGATCTGATTTCATGCACTTTAAGTCTTATTGCAGTAAAATTGTTATTTAATCAAAGAAAAAAAAAAGGGAAAATAATCGCGTATTTTTTATTTTTTCCTCTGTGTAATTTTCCTAAGCGGTTATTTCGACGCTAGATGTTACTAAATAATTTCGCGGTTTCAGCTCGGGAGCGGCTTCGTACAAGCGAGCTTTCCCTTGTTCTCCCGCCGCTACACTAAAGCTCGAGCTCGACTCGACTTGATAGAATGGAATTGAAACAACCGAGCAGTGTCAGTGCATTTCATCCAGCAACCCGAATTCTCCAGCTTTAATAATACAAAGTCGCATTCTCTGCGTTCAAATCTCCTTTATTCAAGATATGCAAGGTATGATATACGAATGTAGTAGACACCTTCTCTCTTGTATCCAATGTAGCATTTGTGAGCGTTCAGACTTGGTTCAGAGAAAATGGAACAATGTTAAAGAATTGTTTTAGAAGTAAGTCATATAGTATATATGTAGAATAAAAAGCAGTGCCAGTACAGAAAGTCTGCAAGTAAATTTAGAAATATAGCCTTCGTAGCCGCCTTTGTGACTCTTTATTGCGAAAAAGCATTCGTTATTAAAGTATATGAGTTTTGTCGAGGTTTTCTCGTTATGAAAATATATGCTTTTGAATATTTTAGTCCCTTAACTAATATAAATTAAACACTGAATACGATTATAAAGTATTTTCTAAAGAAGTGTAAGTAAATCTATATTATGTACAAAAAGGCCTCTCTCAAATTGAATGTTCTGATTATAATCGCTAGGCTTGGCATTTTAATTGGTGACTGCATTACCAAACGCTTTATACTTCAGATGCTTATATCCTTCAGCAGTCTTGACATTTAAGGTTTGATAATTTTTAAATATATGCAATAACTCTTAATTGCTAACATTATTATTTTTTTTGATTTTTTAATCCACTTATAATAAAAACATTATTAATTAATGTTAATATTATTTAACAGTTTCAAAACATCAAATACCTTAGATTTTTAATCTAAGTGGGGGTAACAGTAAAGATGAACACCAAATTAAGTGGATGCTGTGATAGCTGTGCTGTGTTATTTTCTTACATTTGCATATTTATGTCACATGTACATTTATCGGATATTACTTTAGGAATATAACCAAGCATTTAACAGAGTCGTTTTAATCATTTTAGTTTTATGGTTAGAGAAGCATATTTTATGTTAGGAAATTTAAATAAAAACTGTAATAAATGTGAATAGAAAATAAAAAGATGATGGGTGTCGTAAGATGTGGTTTAGGGAAATGGTAGAAATAACGATCCCGTATACGCTATATTCAAAATACTCAGACTGTAAATCCAGTAGTAAACTTTTACGGCTGATGATGACAAAAAGGTCCTATGTACGGGTATAGTCTATACCTTAAACTATACATAAGCAAGCTATAGAGCTATATAAGCCCACTACCCATTATGCTAAGTTCTATAGATACAAGCTAAGACACATATATGAAGCGGTTGAATAATGATGCGCCACGATTGGCGCCTGTGAGTTATTGTACTTAAGTTATTAATTTAATTACGTAAGTATTTAGTAAATATTAAGTAGGTGAGTAATTATAAGGTCGCCCTTGTAATTTAGAGACTGTTAATACCTGTGCTTACTGTACGCTATCGCGCGCTCTATAGCTTGCTTATTTATGTTCTAAGGTTTTAATTGAATAAAAATATTCTTTCTGTTCTACTGTGTTTGCTATTTTGAGCAGTATCATGGTACCTTAACGTACTAGCAGTAATTACTTTATGAAGCTATAGCTATGCAGCGTGTGTACGCCTGAGTATCCAGTATAATCATTTAATTTGTCGTAAATTTTATTGTTTTATATTTTTTTAATAAAACTGAAGTGACAAACTGCTTACATTAAAGATGTTTAAAATAATAAGCTAAGATCAGTGTACACATTAAATGTCTTACCTAGTTTGAGGAGCACCTTTCGCCCACTCTTAATTACATGCACTATTACCGTCACCACTAATCTCAACAACACTTCACTAAGAAAGACCCACCACCGCCGATAATACGACACGTGTTTCACTTCTAATACTTGTATACAAAAATTCATCCTCGAAACAATTATTTGTATAATTGTACCACTCGACAGCGGAAATCACGGCGGGCACCACCGCAAAGAGATGCTTCGTCTCTGCGTTACCGAGGAGGATATCCGGGCAACGTTTAGTCCATACAAACGTATTCCTCTGTTTTCTCCCTGGATAATGACGCTAAAGACAGCCACTGTCATGTTTATAAGTTTTTTATTTCTTAATTTATTTTTTTATAAAATCTATCTTAAACCTTCTAAAATAACTAAAATTGCTTCGTTACACCGCCGCATCATTTTCAGTAATTCAGTTAACAAATTGAACAAACATGAAAATTTAAACAAAGACCAAAACATCGAAATGACCATTTTTCCAAATTTTATTGTTATAATGAATACGAATCGCAATTGTCTCTCTTGTTTGTCTGCCTCGGTCATTGTAATTTCTGTAGACGTGACATAAAATTAGTGTTATTTTAATATTAAGTTAATTCAACAAATAAATCATTTGAAAATAATAGGAGACTAATTTTACAAGACAAAAAACGTCGAAGAACTCAACAGTTCTGCGGCCCTGGTACCCCTGTTTCCGTGAGTTTTATCAATATCGCATTCTCTGTATAAAGAAGCGATGAAGAATACAACACTTCTGTGGCCCTGGTACAACATCACATTTGCTGTACAAATATACAACGAAGACATAATCCATAACTGAATACTAGTGTAATCAGTGAAGTTAATAAATATCATCGTTAGTCCTGGTACTCTGACAGATCAGTGGGTTTAAGTCAATTGACAAGCTCCTCCTCCTTGTACTTGATTGGTAATTATTTCACAATAATTCATCCCACTAAAGGTACCTTTGTTCGGTGTTTGCCCATCGGTGTGAGTATAAAGTCGTCACATCGAAAACATTTTTTTTTGTAATGCGTATTTTTATTGTGTGTTGATTTAATAGGATAAGCTTCGACAAAAATAAATGCGCCTACACACACTATATTAAGTGATTTTTACTTTCATGATTTACTTATACCGGACAAAATTTGAGGTCTTATACCAAACTGTAATATGGATAAATCCGTTTCCCATGCTGATTTGTGTCACCGCCGTTACGCCACCTAAATTTGTATCGACGCGTAGCAAACACCGTGGAGAAGATGATATTTCAATAGAATTAAATAATTTCAAGGATGGATCTAAGAAAATGATAGCTACTTTACTTGCCCCGCTAGAACAAGAACTGAAAAAAATCACACCTACATTAAAAAATATACAACAAACAAACCTAAATACACAATACTCCATTACATTTCTTACTGCACAAAATGAGGAGTTTAGACAAAAATTGAATGTTAGGAAAACCAAATAAGAGAAGACAAGAAATATAGAACGATACTAGAGGATAAAATTGAGGATATGCTAATGGGAAGCCGTAAGATGAATTTTGAAATGAAAAATATTCCTAATAAAGTGAATGAATCTAAGGAGGACTTAATAGACGTGGTGATGTGTTTATCCAAAAGTATTGGGAGTAACTTTACCGAAGCAGATATAAGAGATATATATCGTATCCGTAGTAAAAGAGAAGATATCCGCAATACTCCAATTATGGTAGAGACTTCATCAATCTATAATAATAACTTTGTTGACTTTGATATATTCCATCTTTCTGAGTCTCAGTTCAAGCGTTTCATCTGTAATACTTTTTAGTGACTTATTTTAACAATTTATTTTTACTATTCTGTTTTGTTGTGTTGCTATCTAGATTTAGATGGGAACTTTATATTATATACCACTTAAAGTATCGATAGCGTACGGAATAAAATGTACAGTTGCACAGTGCTTAACAGCAATTTCTCCTAGGCCACCTTTATAAACATGTTAATTTTAATTTTTAATAATAATATGAAAATAGTCTTAAAATTTTACATAATACTTAATTTTATCTACAATATTAAAAACTACGATAATAAAAAAGAAGAACTAAAACTAGAAACTTAATTATCATATAGTCCTACTCCCCGCGGTATCGTGCCAAGAACGCTGGCTGCGTTTCCCCGCTGAATGGCTATACTTAGCCTTTGAGCGAGGAAAGAACCAGCCCTCTTATCACCAGCAGCAACGACCAGCCGCGGATGGAGTTCCTTTAGGAACTCCACCGCACGTGGACCCCACGGACCGATAGTCTCTACAGCAAATGGCACAAATATGTAGTCATCTCTCAGAGACTCATATTTGCGCCACTTACTCAGTTCAGCTGCCTCTGATGCCGCCCCGGCTCTAAACGAGGTACCCCTGAGATGAGAGGCCGCCAGAGTGTCTACGCAAGTAGCATCCCACACTAGAGCTTTACCTCTCTCCCAAGGGACCAATGTCATACCGTCGGGTCTCTTGCCATCGTCTCTAAATATTCCACAAGGCTCTAAAACCGAGGGAACATTTATAGAGGCAAGAGCCCTTCGGATGACATCGTTCAAAGAACTGTGTCGTGAAAACCTACCAGCGCTTTTCTTACATGAAAGTCCGTGGAGCCCAAACTTGTCGACGCTGTTACCACAGGGGCATTGATGGGGTTGACAAATCGCTGCTCCTAGTCGGATTCCTACGGCAATGCGCAAGCTTTCCCTATCAAGTAATGTGCCGAGATTACTTGATGGTAAAGCGTGTAACCAGTGACTAGATTCCTTAGTCGAAACAGCTAGAAGGCGTGCCTTATCTTGGTCACTATGGAAATTATGAAACAAATCCTTCTGCACGCCCTGTACCAACGGAATATCCCACTGTTTTTGTTGGTTAACTTCCAGTGGAATATTTTCACTAGGAATATTTTCACTTTAATTTTAATTATGTTTTGATAACGATTAATTTCGGTATTATGTGCAATCGCTGGCATTGGCATGTGTGCAGCTTTAATTGAGTACAAACTTTAATGTTACTATAATAACGTTAAACGAAGGTGTTTACATCTTATTGCTGGCGACTGTACCTAACTAAGTACTCAAGATCAGCTGTTGTTGCTTAGCATCTGATCGCGTCCGGTAACTTAAGTTTATGTTCACATTTGTTAATATGTGGATAGTGTATTTGACTGCATATTTATTCCTCTTATTATATTAACC